GTGTAAAAAATATTCTATATGATAAACTTACTATCTGTTAAGTGCAGATTTACCCCTGCATTTCCCTCTGACACTGTTTCACCGTTGATGTGTGATGGAGGGAGAGTGACAAGGAATTTCACAGGATTCAATTTTCAATTCAGTTTTGCTTGTAGGGCACCAAATCACAACAAAAATCATCTCAGGGCACTTTATATAGTAAGGTCTAGACACTATTATTATTATTATCGTTATCATTATCATCATATATAAAACCCAGTGAAGCCACTTTGTGCAAGCACTTGGCGACAGTGGGGAGGAAAAACTCCCTTTAATGAAAGAAACCAACAGACCCTGGCTCTTAGTGGGCAGCCTTCTGCCTCGACCGGTTGAGGTGAGTGGATAGAGAGTAGTAGTAGTAGAAAAGAAAGAAGACACACCAACAAGCCCTAACTATAAGTTTTATCAAAATCTAATCTTAATCTTCATGTAATTAACTGAGATTGCTGAATATTAACTTTTGAATACATTTTATGGAGAAGCAGAACTGTGGATTTTTTTTTAGCCACTCCACTTACACTGGAGACATGTATACCAGTGTGGACAGGATGAATGATTACAGTGCAAAAATAAAATAAAATAAAAAAACATTTCCCTGTACATATGGGCATGTGACAGAGTGTACATGTGTCCTTTACAACCATTTGCTTACTTGCAGTGCAGACTTCTGGATCTCAGAATCATTGGCAAACACCTCGCCCTCTGCAACACCCAGAATGATGCTCATACCTGCAGCAGAGAAAAGAGACATAGTGATGACCCTCCCGCTGACTCTCCAAACATTTTCATGTGATCAGAACAAAGTAAAAACCAAAAGATTCTACTGACCCACAGTGGAAACGGACGAGTTGTTTTCATCCATAACACCAACAGTGTCCGCCAGGACCATCTGGACTTTAGGAACTACTGTCAGGATAGCCAGGATGTCCAAGGCGTAACGCACCGTGTCACTCCTTTAGAGGGAGACAGATCCAAAGAGAGAGAAATCAAATTCAATGTCGTACATTTGTTAAAATGTACTTACACTGATGAACAGAGTAAAGCAGAAACAGCACTGATGAAAAGGAACGCAGTATCATTTTCACACAGTGAATGGAGGTACCCATTTGAAATTAACTTTGCTTGCCTTAATAAGCACCTAGTCATGATTATTCCTACTGACAGTGTATGTGTGCGTGCAGCTATACCTGCCATAGTAAGTCCTCCAGTCACAGGCTGCAGATATGAGCTGCAGCATTAGAGGAACACAGGACAACTTGTAGAAAACCTCGACCGGCTCCCAGTGGAGCTGAGGAGGTCCACACTCGATGAGGAACTCTGTCATCTCAATAATCTGCTCTCTGGTGTATGTATATGCCTGGAAACAGGAGGCCACAGACAGAACGTGCATGTAGAGTACAGTGAGCACAGTGGTAAACCCGTGTGTGTGTGTGTGTGTGTGTGTGTGTTCCTTCCTGCCTGCTCTCTCCTATCAAGCAGCATTTCTGACGGTGTTGGCTGGTGTTCACTGGAAATCTGTATATAACCATTGTTCATAGCAACTGTACTGCACATAAACAAAGATATTCCTTTAACATCCCCACAAACAAAAAACACCTAAATGACAGGGACTATGCATCAACACTAAATAGAAAAAAATATTTTATAAGGACAAACATGGATGATGAGGAACGCTCCAATACACACCTTGTAAAATGGCTGCTGGGGAACAGTGGTACCTCCGTCTGATGTATGCAGGGACTGTCTGACCTGTTCAGCCTTTGCTGCCAGGTGAGCCTCAAAGTACCTTAGAAAAGTCATCAATAGTCAACTAATGCTCATTGTATCTGAAGACACCTGAAATACATTAGTGTTTAAGAAGTTTAAAGATGAGGCAGAGTTCTGCAAAGCACTACCCTTATCACCTAAAGTTATGAGGTGACAGAATAATAGTTTTTATCCACTGACAACCTTACAGACTTGACACTGTTATCCATCTATCCATCCCGTGTAGTACCTGCGCAGGGCCATGCAGGTGTGTTTGGCTGTCTGTCGGCTGGAGAAGATCTGGTCATCACTCATTATGGACACCTCACTGTGTGCATTAAGGATCTCCAGAGTACTGACCTACAGGGAGAGAACACTCATCAGAAATTCTATGACAGGCACCACAATTAATTTAACAACAAAATGCTTGTGTTTAAAATCCAACTTGCTCCACATGTAAAGCATTACTGCACTGACCAGGTTGACTAGCCTGCGCAGGCCATCCTGATGGTCGAACAGCTGCAGCACTGCCCTGAAGGAGAAAGAAATAGAGAAAAACATGGTGGCATGGCAGACGCCTGAAGCGTGGGACGACTCCATCAGCCACAGAGCGTAGGACACTGTGTTGGCCAGCACCCCATCTGGGAGCATGCACACCTACAAACAGAGACAGCAGAAAGAAAGAACAGGAGGATACACTGTCTGCCTCACTCTGTGCTTCCAAACGAAGGGTTTCAGCACACTGCAGTAAATCCACAATAAATCTGTATAAAGTACCAATATCACATAAAATGAAATTAACACATTTTAAAGCCTGATCATCTGCCATTAAAGAGCTACAAGTAAACTTTAACATATGTGAAGCTTTGCCTGATAAGTTTCTTCTCTTTTTTTTCCACCTGAGAAAGAAGAAATCCTAAGGAAAAATTATTACTATAATAGCTATATTGTCAATGTCGTAGCAATTGTGATTCTGACCTTAGGTAGGAACTAAATCAAGACCCTTAAAGATGGGGTTAAAGCAAAATTGATGATTAATGATTTGTTTCTAAACAAATTATCAATGTTAATAAATGTTTCTGAAAATGTGAAAAGACTGAGA